TACGTTCGAACGGGGACTAATAACGGGGCATGTGACATTCATGTCTTGTTTTCTCTAAATTCAAAGAGAATGAACTTTCTCACCATGCTCTCCATTTTGAATTAAAATTATCATGTAATTGTTCTTTATTTTGGATTTGCATTTGCTAATATGATTGGATGCATGTACCCTGGCAGATACTGCAAAATATTTAGAAGATACAGTCACAGATGAATAATAGTTTTGCATCGATATTTTAATAAAGATTTCACATCTAGATCAACAACTTTCATGGAAACAAGAAGAATGTGGTGACAATGATAAAATGTTGATAAGATGTTTATAACACAATATACCTTTTTTGGTTACTTTCACAGGTACTTGTGTGTCTATTTTCAAGTTGGCATGCGACAAGCAACTCCTCCTTGGTGGCTTTTCTACACTACTTTGTAGTGATGCCATGGCAAGTATTTTTCGTTTGTGATTGCACAAGTTTGTAAGAGCATTGTCCTGTTTCAAGTCCTCAGCAGTTCTTTGTGTAGAGAGTAAACTGATGTCAAAGTTGAACACAATATCAACCAAAAGAGGGCATTCTAATCCACATTTGCATGTGCCATCCGTTTGCATGTATTCTTTGACATGGTCCAACGATGTCAGTAAACTTTGGTTTGGACTGTAATATAAAAAGAAACATAACTAATATAACCTTACAATTAAGTATAGATATAACAGACATAGTACTGGAAGCCTATTATGTAAATAACCCTCTTCAAATTGGTTGTTTTGTAACAAATTAGTGTATGGTAAGGCATTGAAATTATGGAGGTCATATTGATAATCTAAAAAAATTCAAAATACTATCATTAATCCTTTGCAAACGACTAAGTTGTCAGTTGCTAAAACTAGTTTGAGTTCCTTTCCTTTCATTACCATGCCTTTTTTCAGAATCTAACAAGAAAGCCATCACGGATGGTAGATATAGCAGTAGTTGAATAACTGCAATAGTGCTTTAGATATGATAGTTTTTACCAAGATCAGATGAACATATATGGGAATATGTTGACCACTATATACCCCACCTGTACTACATGCTGAAAGATAATAAAAACAGTTACCAACACATGCATACTCAACTACAGTCTGTACTTTTTACTTGGTAACAGTTTCAATTAAATTAAAACTAGTATCAGAGATAGACGTGGCAACAAGATAAAGATCATTGTTTTGAGCTGGTGAAAAGTTCAGTTAAAAGAAGAGAAGCAAATACTAACCTGACATAGACAATCTTTCCATTCTCAATCAATCTTTGCCATCCAAATGGCACTTTCACAAATTCAGTATGTTTTGTGTCAAAATCACTTTCTGGTGGTTCCTTCTTCTCTACCTTCATACAAGAAGATTGGATCTCTTTTTTCACACTATCTGTCTGCACCTTCTCCCAAAGACGGTTCTTTTCAGTTCGCCTGACTGCTTGTTATCTCCAGTTTTCTCTCCTCCTTCTCCATCGTGTTCTTCAACCTCTGGAGTCTCTTTGCTAGAGTTCATCTTGTTTACGCAAAAAAGAGAAGTAAAGCACAGAACAGAATCACATAGTGCTTGATGGAATATATTGCCTCAGGAAGCCATTCAGAAAGTCAGCAGACAATTGGGGTGTCATTACTAAACTTTTATTATATGCCCATCTTTGATTGAACAGTCAGTAAAAACAGAATCCATTAGCCAGATTTCTCCATTGCTTCAAGGACAAGTTCACTATAAGAAAAAACAAATCATTTCAATTACACACTGAAGGAACTGCACGATGTAAATGGTGATTACTTGAAAATCATTTAAGCACAACTGAACTGGAAAATAAGGTGAAAGATGCTTAGGGTATTGTAGGAATAAGTACAAATAAGAAATACCGGAACCGGTACTTGCTACATTCACGTTAGGGATTTTGGCATGTGCCAACATTTTCAATACTTTATATGTTTGGAGTGAGATTACAGCAGTTGCGTTCACGCGAGTCGGGACCCACATCAGGACCAACTCTGTTTGTGCCAAAATCACGCTCTCATTCATAGATCTGATCCATAATAATTGCTATATTGAAATTATATCTTTTTTTTGTTGTGTTATTTATTCATGCACATGAACGGCAAAAAAGATTTTAAACAAGTCATTGTCAATGACACGTCCCCATTCTGTTCATATTTGAGTGACATATACATTCAAAGCAGATCATGACCGAAATGCACCTGCATATGTACAACACATTGTACTAAATCTGACAAAATCCATCCATGCATGACTGAGATCCGGTTCCGGATTGTGAAAATACGTGATTTTCGGTTTAAA